TGGGCTCTTCGTGGAATTGCAATCAGGTCAGACCTCAGTCTGGAACCCACCACGTCTGCATAAAGGTCCATTAATCCATTTTCAAAATTTCCATGAGGGTGTCGTTTTGTTTTGTTTTTACATGAGTTTTTGTCAATATAAACAAAATAAAACAATATATTTCTCCTCACATGCGTGAAGGGGCATGACGCACTCACTTTCTAAGATGAACACACACTTTTATAAATGGAGAAATAAGCTAATTATATATCTTTCTAGCAACAGTAATAAAACATTTATAAATCTATGTCGCACCGAAATGAGCCTTCTTGGTTTGAAAATATACATATATGTACCTACTAATCACAGACGTACACAAACTTCTTCGTGTTATTGTATTTATTTTATTAATAGGATATTATATATATTATATATATATTTGGGAATATAATTAGGACAAAAGACTAAACTTAACATCGGACATCTATGGTCCGTTTTACCATCTTCTTATAAAAGATAATATTTACTTTTATCTACTATGACACGTAAAGTTTGATATAAACTATAGAGACACATAGCTTATACACATTAAGTTCTATATTCAAAAGCTGATAAATAGCGGCTTTTCAGACATTATGAAACATACCTTCAAATTAAAATACATTTATAAATCACCTACAAATATCACAAACACACTACTTACCCATACTTAACACGAGAAACAATAATAAAAAACGCAAAATAATAATTCGAAAACTATTCCCACCTAATAACAGGTCAAATTTTTAGTGTTCTTTTCAATTTGCATATTTTAGCTAGCATGAGAGCTTCGCATTACCATCGTAAACGCAAATCTGATATTAGTGGATCATTTTCCCTCAGTAGGAAACTATTACCTGATCGTAGCTACGTACTTTGATAAATAAAATTTGGTAACCATTGTAATAAGTAGCTTTTGAATAAATCAGTGGATTGAAATGAATTTGTTTTCAGTGACGCAGTGGTAAGGTCAAGTCGGCCGAAGCACGACTCTCACTCGCTTATTAAAAAAGACAGAATTACCAAATTTTTCTTAATTTTTATTAGATCGCAATTTAGATTTGGCCCATAGAGACCCTCTATTAAATAGGTTACATTACATAACTGGTTTAAAATGGATGCAGCATACATATTTTTAAAAGTCCATCTGATAGCCTTCTGGAATCAAAAATTGAGACGTTTTACTGTGTTCTATGCAATATGTGACAATTTTCATATTCAAGAGCCTTGGTAAAGAAAGGATATTATTTTTAAATGCAGTGTCTTAAATCTTTTGATAGACCAGAAATCTGAGTCAAAACCAACAAAAACATGTGTGATTCAACAACCGTAGGTACTTACAACCACTAAGCCAACAAAACAGTATACTTCAATATAATTAAACTAGACAAAATTAGGTTGTGTTGTCATTACTAATCTTTATATAAATCTAGCTTTAAATTGAGGTTGAATTAATTTAAATGGGACCACGATAAGGATCCAAATGTAAAGCAGAAACATTAATGTTTTATAGTTCATTTTGTTATTGTTTGCCTCATTAGTCTAGTTGTCGTTACAGGGGCTAGCGAGCACGAAGGCCTAGGTTAGTATTATTTAGAGAGTAAGCAGATATTTTCAAAGAAGTTATATCTAATTCTATAACATAATGAACCTAATTTGATCCCTGTAATCTATGTTATACATAAACAAGTATAGACTGGTTGGTGCGGTCTGCGGTGGCTGGGCAACTGGCTGTCGCGGGTTCGATTCCCGCAAGGAACAACTCTTTGTGTGATCCACAAATTGTTGTTCCGGGTCTGGTTGTCATGTGTATGTGAAATTGTAGGTGTGTTTGTAACCGCACCCACGACACAGGAGAAATCGTAATGTGGGGCAACTTTAAAAAATAAATAAAAAGAACAAGTTACCCGCCCCAGCTTCGCAAGGTTGTAATGCCGCAACTAAATATTTCTCTACTATTTATCAGGTGGTTTTTACATGAAAACCTCCCTCTTCAATCACACTATCTATTAAAAAAACTGCATCTAAATCCGCGGCGTAGTTTTAAAGATTTAAGCATGCAAAGAATGTAGGGATAAGAGAAAGTGACTTTGTTTTATACTATGTAGTGATACTCATTTCAATAGTTTAAAAAACAATATTAGTCACGTTTTTTTATACTTATACGTTACTACTGTTCTTAATAGCACATGGGTTGTCTTTCTCTTGTAAGTCATGTATAAACTTTTCTCCAACGCTAGCTTCTGTCGCGCTGTTTCACTCGCTAATCGGGCCCTACAAATCTATCTACACATCTAAACCTCGATAAATATACTAACAAACACAAAAATAATGATTCAATTCAAACCAGTATTTCTGAAGAACTCTTCAGCTTTATAATATTAGTATAGATTTTACTGTTTTCATCACTTTGTTCTGATAATGTTGGTTGTTTACATTTTGTTTCGAGACGTTTCTCCCTACATCGGGTCCGAGGCAGCATCTACGCTTAATGTATTTGTGTAGATGCCAATCTCAGTTAGTGAGCTTCTGGTTACCGGCTAACTAAGGACCGTCAATGTCAATTGAGAATCGGACAAAACATAACACTGTTTCATTAGGGTTATCTTAAACCCCAAATGTAGACGGACTGTCTACAGACTCATTAATGCCGAAAGAGATTAGTGCACTGACTTTTGAATGTGTTTAATCGTATGTTCCTTTTTCAAACTATTTAGAAGGCCTTGGTTTTCATAGTGAGATATTTATTATTTCTTTTTTATCCTTTTGATCCTTGAAAGAGTAGGTATTTCGAAAAGGTTCTATAGCTTTCGCATTATTTATTTCTTATAAGTCACGTCAAGTCACGTGTAGATTTTTCAGACAGCTGGCAGCACTTTCTGATACGCTGGCCCTTTCAAAGGACAATATAAAAGCTCGCTTTTTAAAACAATTCGTCTTAGAAGAGTTTCTTATTCCATTTGCGACCTGTTGATGACTGATGACGTTACATGATCAAACAGTAGAAGTTCCGTTCAATTGTCTATAGAGTATTAACGTAGGTAAGTTGTAGGTCACAAGATAATAACACAAAATTACCGTATCGTGTGACGAACAGAAAAACGTATTACACTTTAGGTAAAAGCCACCGCAGCTCGTAAAACTAACAATGATAAAAACCCTAAATAAAAAGCCTATTACTTTGTAGAAAGTAGCAAGTAAAACATTTAAAAGCCATAGCAAATTTGTTGAAAGAAAAAGTAGAAAAACATAACACGTAACTCAAGTCATATAGACATACGAAGAGACACGCAAACTTTAATTGCTTCTAATTAATTTATTACATGTATTAAACAATTAAGCGTGCGGTATCTTGATGTATTGTTATCGAATTTAGGACGCCATAGCTACGAACGACTCTGACCAATTGACTTATCTTTGTAAGCTAATTAATGGGTGCACTCATCACGCGATGTGCTCTAATTGGATGTCGAAAACAGACTTCATTTCGTTATTACTTTTCCATTTTATAAAAAGGATACGTTTGATGGTTGATAGGACTTGTCAATTGGTGGGATCTTTGCGATAATTTTATGTAACCTTTAATTGAAGAAGGCAAGGCTCATGGAAGGTCTCTAAAATACACTAATTCATCTTTAGCTGTGTCTTGTTCTTCAGAATAAGCTGTATTCCATAGTTTGATGAACCCATAGTAGAGGATAACACACATTCAAGGTCATAAACCGTCCTTTATAACTCCACCTATTACAGGACTTTCGTTAAAGCTTAATCGTGATGCGTAAAAGAAAACGCAACAATATTAAATCACAAAGAAACGTGGACGACTGCACTGATGAGCTATTTCCTTAACAAATCAACTTACTTAGATATAAAGAGGTAGGCACACAAAGGAAAACAATCAGAACATCGGATATGATTTATATTACATTAACTAGCTCCCCTAAAAATCCCCCGTAAACTTATTTCGTGCGGTAATAAGATTGCCGGAACAACACTATGTTCACGTACATAACAAAACGAAATTAGAAATCGTCTGAGTTACGAACACCGGTAAATGGTGAAACGATTGCCAATTTACCAACCCTACCCTGTCTTAATTGACGTAGACTACTCCTTAAACTAACGGGGGTAGATAGCGAAAGTAATTTGTCATCGGTTAGCTAAGCATGGTGGTGGGGGGGAGCACTCGCGGGCCAACCTCCGCGAAGGTAGCACGTCTCCACACTAATGACATCCCGCATAATTAGGAACCGCCACCATCTACTAATTACATAAATTGCCCACTAAACTTGGCTATAATTTTGCTTCGCGTTTAAACGGGGTAACTGCTTGAGACTTGGTACGGACTGGTTAAATTATTACAATGTGATATATACATACAGATTTATAAACATATGTAGGTATGTTTAATCCAGTTTTGTTCGATATCGAACTGGTTACACGCAGGTAGACAAGATCTAGTGTTGCAGGTATTAAATTGTAGAATGTATTATGTGGTAGCGACAATAGATAACGCTACCCGTGACGCTGGGAGTACACTGCGGGCGCAACTTAGGTACGCACCCGGATCCGACTTGCGGGTATTTGCCGCAATGATTACACTCGATTGACTCCAATTCCCTTGTGGGCCTGTATGAGACTTATTAAGTAGATATATCGCTTCACAAAGCAATTCCAACATCATTAGCTACACTTTTATGTAACAAAACTCTGACCTCTCTTTTCTTACGTATATACGTTGTTTGAATTTTTAATTTCACTTATTAAGTCCAGTCCTTCTATGGGATTCAAAATCATTAATCTCTCAAATCCGTCTTAAGTTCTAATTTCTGAACTATTGTATTAATCACCACAAGTAAAAACATAATAGGTACTAGCTACTTAAAACAACGTATATGAAAAAAATCTAATCTAAGTATCAACGTATCAAAGCCCAATATTTTTTCTTAAACGACTAATTAACATAATTATTTTTACCACAGATCAACCAACAATCAGCCAGTCATCGAGCAACGTAGTAGACGGTATCAACTTGGAAGACATCAAGGAATTCGCTAAGGCCTTCAAACTTCGACGGCTTGGCCTAGGCCTCACTCAGACCCAAGTCGGACAGGCCTTGTCCGTCACCGAAGGGCCTGCCTACAGTCAAAGCGCAATTTGCAGGTAAAGTCTAGTTTAACAACTTTATAAAGTGTTGCCTTTAGAGAAATAGATCTTAATAGGTTGCCTTATAATACTATTTTTGTTGCTGGACACGAAGTGGTGCACCCAAGAGACCATAAATAGTTTGTCACTACAAGCAGCAATTAAAAGTCCCGTAACATTTGCAACGTGTAATTAATATACTGTCTGTAACGGTATTTTGCAATATGTATACATGGTCCATTTTACAATCTACCTTTTATTCCGTACCCACACTAAAATCAAGTTTATGTATGTATAAAGTCCAGCAACTTACATACAGATAGCCTCTATTGTTCTCTCTACAATCAATTTCGAACAATATTTAAATTAAATCCATACTTCAAGAAAACCGTTACGGCTACTTCAAAAGATATAGAACACACGACCACAGCTTAAAAATTAATGTTGCCACTTAATTGTTGTTGTTAATACAGTATCTAATTAATCAAAGAAGAAGAAAAAATATAATAAAAAAACGATCTGATGATATCTTACTTGTAATCGAAGGAGATAAAGTCGCACGCTTGTCAAAATAATGTGACCGTTTGCTGGCAACATCGTGGGGCTGACAAAAAAAGGTTCAAGAATCGTTTTTATAAATGTCGTCACGCAGGCCGGCGCTCGGTTATCATTCCAACTTTTTAATATCGTTAATTGAAGTGATTTGTAAAACAGCATGACTCCTTTCATTGCTTACAATTCGTTTAATTAATTACCATTCGGGTGGCTTCCGTTCCGCTCACTGTGTCGTGGCTTACACCATTTTTTACTCGGCTAGGCGCGGACGCGTGCTTCCTAATTATTTTTTCTATTATTACGAATTGATTCGTGTTCTTTCTACGTAGGTAGATGTCTACTGTTTCTTTTCACATTGAGTTCATGCCTAATGAATAATGAAAGCAACAAAGTTGTCTAACATTTACTGAAATGGAACTTTGATTTCATTTCTGCGAAGTCTTTGAGAATCTCGATTTTCTATGACAAGTCCTTACTCCACATAAACCTATCTCTAGACATCTTTTATTTAAAAATAGTGTAAAAGTTGTTTAACAAAATCCTCAATTAAATATCCGTACTTTGTATAAAGTCACTCGATGCGAGCACAATCCCACGTTAAACTAAACCTGAAACAGAAACATGGACTTTCTTAATTGTTGATCTCGTATGCTGCAATCAAATCATATTAAACTAATTATTTTATTTCAAAATTGAACAACTATACTGGTTTGACGGCCGATCGAAGTTGGAAATAATATTTTTCTCGGCTTACCTTATACTACGTAAATCGACAAATTAATCACGCTTCAGCACAGCTTTACGCTCATAATGTTTAATTGAATCAAATCACTCGATGCAAAACGGAATGCGACCGGCACAAGCCGAAGGAAATTTCAATTCCGAGCCACCCCCGACGACCTCCTTCGTATAATAAAATCATTAATCGTTACTTCTGTTCCAGTTAATTAATTATCTTGCCGTAATTACTTTTTTCGTGTAATTAAAAAGAGTAGAATTCCCCTGTCTTTGTTCTGTCGTGATTTCATTTCCCATTAATTTTTCTTTCGTCTCCCTCCAATTTGGTGTCGTGACGTCGCTACATGGTAGTTACCCCTTTCATTATACTGGACTTAATTAATTTGCATTTTAATTAAAACATATTATTGTTTTTGAGAAAAGAATTCCATTTAGTGTAACTCGTTCCATCTCACTGGAGCTTTTTGTTACCGAGTTCACAATGGGCTAAAGTCAACAGAATTCTTTTTAATCATTTTCACAAACTCAAGGCGTTTAGCTACCCAAATCTAATTTAACCAAAGAATCCTATAAAAACATTTCGAAATTGTAAAAGCAATAAAACTTTTTGGCCTCGACCGAAACTGTCAACATCGTGAATCACGTTGATGAACTGTTTATTAAAGCGATATTATTTAAAAATTGTTTGAAATATAGCATATTGATCTGTTTTGAAGACAATCAGGCGCATGGTCATTGCCACTTGGAACGATGTCAATAACAAAATATTGAATTAACCATTAACCCCGGTGCGAGTGCATTACAATTTCATATGAAGTACAATGCGTCAGGGCATCTCGTAGCGGCATAATATTAAAGTTAAATAACCAATAAATAACACATCCACGTCCTAAACTGGATAAATCCCGAATAATATCGTTATGAATATTTTATTTCCTTTTCAAATGATATCGATCAAGAGAGCGTGTCCGTATGTTTGCCCCATGCATTGTCTAAGTATCGTAAGATCTACCTCTTGTGTAGCGACATGATAGCGTGCGACTTTGTTCTTAATCTTTCTAGATTTGTGAGATGTAGTGATGTTGCTCCCGCTCACTCCGGCGAGCTCCGTCACCGTCACTGGATACGACATAATCTAACATAATATTTGTTACCGTCCCCAGTGCCCTGGCTTCGCAGATGCTAGCAGCTCAGCTGTCTTCACAACAACAAAACATGTATGTGTTTTGTTTTTTATCCCTACACACAATATCTCCAAATTTATCTTCATCAATCCTGCATCCACTTGCATGCATTTAGAATTTACTCAGTAAAAACATTTGCATAATGGTGCTAAGATAATGGAGATAAATTCGTAGATACTTAACATACATTAAGTACACGCTTTGGCTCACTTATATCGGCCGAGTCCACACGCAGAATGTCTTTAAATCAAAATGTTTCAACGCTGTTTAATGTAATCTTATCTCGATCGGCGATCCGTGCATACCTTTTGAATGTATGCCGTATATAATTATTTGTAATTACCGGTTTTGACGTTCTTTCTTTTCCTTTTCACACGTGTACGGTATTTGCATTCGGGTAATTACAGCGAAGGCGCCATACATCATACGGCCGAGTTACATTTTGATGTTAAGACAAACGCGCTACACTAATGCGCCGGCTACCAAACCATGTCGATTCGACACTATGAGTAATCGCTGTGAGAACTTTATCACTTTTATTATTTGTAACATCTCGATGAGTAATATCTAACTTTCCATCTAATATAGCATGATGTATTATTTTCATTACTCTTATTTTTATTAATATTCATTTTGCGCAATTCAAAGCCAGGGCATTGGCATACGTTACGTTACCTTTCGTTTCCAACTGAATTCGTTGTTTTATTGTTACCTCGTTCGGTATTAATCAAACTGATTACCTCGGCAGACTAAATTGCCTATTGTTTTTTTCTCTCTCTAAAATCGTTAACGCAATGTCAATGTCCTGTGTTTATGCCTCTGTTAATTTGGATCGGGTAAAGAGTAACATCGCGTTCTGTAAAGGTGCTTCGCGGTAGATTTTCATTTGACCGGTGCTCGCATAGCAAAGTCTAACATTACATTTATGTTCGATACAGATTTGAGAAATTGGATATAACACCAAAAAGTGCGCAGAAAATCAAACCGGTGCTCGAACGTTGGATGAAGGAAGCCGAAGAGAGGTAAATATTTGTTTGAGTGAGTTATGTTCGTGGTAATGTGCTACACCGTGTTCGTGAAACATTTGGCCTATAATGCTTAGCAACGTTGTGAAAGACATTTCTCAAATCTGGACTAACTAATGCTTTACGGGCTAGGCTTTATGTTTATTTGGATCCGCTCTACAACTAACATCTAACACTCACCGTTACCCAAAGTTAGGAATAACTAATTTCTTCTCGTCTATTCCTGAAATTAGTTATTCCTAATTTAGGTGTTCATCTCCGACGGTTTTAACACTGGCTTTATCATGCATGTTTAGTATTAGGATGCGGTTATTTAGTTTCGGCGTATTATTACTATATTTGCTTAGTTTTATATGTTTTCTTTGTTTATCATCGATTAGGAATCACCATAGTATTAATAGTTTTCGTTTTAGTTGTATAAGTGTCATCAGTCTTCTACCTAAAACTGTTGTCCCTAATTTGGTGTAACTTTCTAAAATAATGCCCTGAATTAACAAAATTAATGTAACACACCTAGATTATACCAAAATCGTCATTGTCAATTAAGTTAACTGCCCAAGAAACCCACAAATCATTTGTGGGAACGTCTGAGGAGGTTGTGGAACTTATAAAAATGTTTTGAAATAGGTATAATAAGATTGGTCTATTTTCATGAATGGGAAATCGAAATTATCAATCCTTCAAACTAATGATCCTGGTTACAATACCTCATTTAATTTGGGTGGTTTGCACACGTCCAAGTTTTGGTAGAGTTACCCAAAACAATTTTTTCACCAATCTTTCGGATTTCATGCTCTCGGTGAAATTATGCATAGGTAAGGGCTGGATGAACAGTACCAACTACGTAGCAGCATACAATGAATAAAAAAACCCAGTAATGTTTGAATAAACTCGAGGCTTATCTAACAAAGAACATTGTGAACGAAATAAAGACAACACTTAACCAATCAACGAACCCCTTTTTTCCATAACATTACAAACTAAACCAGGTGTCACTTAAATCTTTAACCACAACATAATGCCGCCATAAGATGTCCCAACAGGATCTATCGATCGACATTTTGCATCATTAAAATGCATTATCTGGATGCAACGCTTCGGTTTAACATTGCAAATGGGTGCATTGAATTTGCAATCGGTCCCTCTTGGTGGTAATTTTTAACGACCGCCTCTGTTGGGGATAGTCCTTGAATTAATTCCGTTGTAACTTGGGCGATCTCGTTAATTTATTATTAAGAACTAGGTACATCTATTATTGTGTGCTCAGTCGTTATAAATGGAACTGGTGCTAACAATTAATGTCGGAAGCAAAGTCCTACTGTCGAATGAGCTAGATTGGCAGCCTTCGTCTATTTTTGTAAAGAGGGCAAAAGTTAAAAAGCATCGGAACGGCTCCTAGAAGCTAATTGAAAGTTTCTTGAACATTTTTTAAGCGTTAAATAAAACAGATCAAAAGCACGTACTCTTAATACTCGAGTAAATATGCCAATCCCGCTAATCGGTGACATAGATTCTAATAAATACATAAGTCATGGAAAATAAATAGGAGAATGCATATATGTATGTAAGATAATTCAAATGACATTGGCATTATGAAACCAGAGCAAGGCTTATTATTACCATCAGCCGTACGATATTAAGTTTAATAAGATTGTTGATACATACATAAGTTTACATAATCGTTATTGACGCGTATTAAGGTTCAGTAATTTTTGTACCACAGGTGTAATGCCATTCAATAATAAAGCTAATTTTCTACTTCATAAGATCTACTTAGTCAAAGCATGTCATTCTCAAACTCCTTAGACACATCAAATTGGTTATCAATGATGCTTCTGCTTCTACTACGGAAAAAACGTTCACCGAATTCACTCCAAATTCGGTCAGCGTAGTTTTCGCAAGCTTCTGCACCGACAACTTCATTCCAGAATTCTTCCATCCAATCACAGCGTGGGTAAAATATTTTTTTCATTATTTTTTGCCCAAACTAAAACCTTAACTCGGGAGTTATAAGGCTCACAATAAATAACGACCACTAACGCCTGCTTTATCACCTTTCCTAAGCACTTAGTACGGAACAGGGACAATTTACACAAGGACCGGTCGAATTATAAGTTCTTGCAGCAGCTCATTCAAAAATCCGTTTTAATGCAGTGTTTTAATGTTTATTATTCCGATTATTACAGGTATGCTTCTGGACAGAATCATCTGACGGACTTTATAGGGATGGAGCCAAGCAAGAAAAGAAAACGGCGAACCTCATTCACTCCTCAGGCTCTGGAACTACTTAACGCACATTTCGAAAGAAACACGCATCCCTCTGGTGAGTTCAAACAGATCTTTATTTTTTGTATTTTGTATTCTTTCTGTAGCCTAGTACGTGGTCATCGACTTCAGAAGGTATATTTGTATCATTTTGAAAACTACGTATGTTATCTCTAATGGTTCCAATTGTAAAATTTGTAATCAAGATGAACAGACACATATTACGCAAAATGTACAGATTAACTTGAAGCAAAGCAAAAACGGCATTATTAGATCTAATGTGACCATCTAATAGGTATTTCGGCCAAACAAAAACTGATGCTATTGTTATATTTTTTCAGGCACTGAAATCACTGGACTGGCACATCAGCTCGGCTATGAACGCGAGGTCATCAGAATATGGTTCTGCAACAAACGACAAGCCCTAAAGAACACCGTCAGAATGATGTCCAAAGGCATGGTGTAAACGAGAAAATCCCCTCCTGTACACAATTGCGAATTTTGGGCACAGTCCACGAGTCCGTTAAAAAAAGGTCCATCGTATTAGTTTATAAATCCCGCAATGGACACTGAATTCTATCCAATCTTTACCATTTGTGTACAGGAACGTAAAAAAATGACAGTTAATTTAGTGATGGGGTGCGACAATGTTATCGATATCGATGGTTTCGCTTTAACATCTGCACGTAGATTCGTGATCTCGTCTCGATATTCAAATTAATTTATAATTTGCATCGATAGTGTCTTATTTATAAAGGCGAATGTTTCTTTTTGTTTTGTATTGATGAAAAGTCTGGCCTTACCGCAATCTTTATGCGATTCCAGCCAATATGAAACATGGAAAGTAGATAATAGTATTAAGTGTAACGTAAATGTATTATAAAACAAATTTCGACTGAAATATTCGTCTCGATGTAGTTTACAATGATATGAATGGAATGTCGTAGCGATTAATGTAGGTGTTTACTAGTACAAAGTAATGAAATTGAATTGTCGAAATCACTTTACCATTTCCAATGTTTCCCATTTTCATTATTTGTATTTTAAAATTATACGGATTATTGATGAAGGATAAACAAACAGTGTTATTGAATTAGTAACTTTTACTCTTTTCTTAAAGCATCAGTGTAGCGAAACTCACGAAGATGGCAACTTATGTTTCATACATGAAGAAATAGTGTAGCTTCCAGGTTTTATTTTGTAAAAAGATTGCATTTTGTAAATAAGTACAATATGATTAATTTTCGTCATTGACAATGTAATGTAGCTGATACATTAATTTATTAAAAATACTCTGAGTTGTTTCGTTCTATTAGCGAATGTTGCACTTTAGATTTAAGACTAATATCGATATTATGAAAGTAGTTAAAATGTGTCGTCAATCTTAGTACAGCCTACTAAGATTTTTTTATTAATCTATAGTAGGTTTTTGTTGATAGATAGGTATAAAACGATATGTATAGATTAATTAAATATAATTATTATCTAATATTGCCGTAAATTGTAAATATTGTTTTCGTAATATGATTTTAATGAAATGTATTATTAGTTTTATGTATTAAGTATAATTTCATAGCTTTTTAAAAAAGTTTTATTGTAATTAGGCAGTATGCAAGTTGGATTTTGTGGCGATATTAACGTTATTTTTTTATCAAGCAGTTTGTTTATGATTGGAATAGTTTAATATTCACCTTCTCATAGAAATACAAGTAACAGGGGGTCTTGAATTTAAATGTTAGATGATTTTACAGCGCATATTTCTCGTACGTTGACTGTTAAACTAATAAAATTGCCTCGCATTTGGAAATGTAGATTTTGAAGAGTATACTTATGATATGTAGATTTTCCAAAAATACTAAAATTTGACGTTATATATAATTATGTTTTAAGAAATAAATGCGTGCGAGAAATATGCAGAAATAAAATTTTATAAGTGAATAAAGTATCGTCGGAAACAAACACAACATTTTAAATATTGATAAAATAGAATACTTACTTGGTGTTTCTATTTGGTGTGCGCACGTAATATTTAAAAACAATGTTGTCCTAATCAAAAACAAAGTTCGATTGTTTTGCAATAATTGTGTCATTGCATTATATCACCACGTCTCCGGAGACAGGTGCCTTATCGATATTTCGGAATACAAAATTTAAAAAAAGAACCGTGATATTTGCTGATTTATTTCAAAAGTTTGATGGTTGACTAGGTATAAAAAAATCCTTTTGAAAAGTATACTTTGTATAACATTAATATACTTCCAAAAATCGTACCTCTCGCAAAATATCACATACCTATGTAAATAATTTAGTTAGATAGTTTTCAAATAAAGACCTGCTGTTAACTGTATTACCAATAGTAATAAGGCTGTAATTGTAATATTGTATGTTAATGACCAATGAAAACCAACTTGTGATCATTAATATTTGTACTGTTACCTACTACTTAACAAGAGTCGTTAAAAAAATAATATTATAAAAATTGAACATATTTTTCGGCTGTTGAAAAATTGTAAATACAATATTAAGGATAATAAAACTATTTGGATTAATATTTAGGAACAAAGGGAAAAAAATATTATCAAAATTTATATTTTCAAAAATATTACAAATGCAAAAAAGCGTATTTAAAAAAATGGGATGTTTGGCCATAAACTAAAAATCATATTCACGGAAAGGGTTTTTTATCGACTTAAGCACACCACAACACTACACAAGCCACGATCAGTAAGGTAAACAGTGAATAAAATTGTGCGATGCGATGTTGCACGTAATCAGTACTTATAATAAAAGGAGTCAGATTTCTCATTTACAAATCATATAGTGCCCTTCATATTGCAAGTCATTTCTTTAGGAAAATAATTCTTTACACTTTTCTAGAAGACAACCGCCATTAAAAGTCTTTTCACGTTTTTAAATGTAATAATAAAATACGTCTGCAATTGATACACATGAAAAATCTGATTCCCATCAAACATTAGCGTAATAGAATGAGCATAGAATGCTAAGTACAAATGATATAATTTAACGATAAAACTGCTAGTCCCGTTAAAGGTAATAATAATTAAAATTAAAAATAATCATTACTATGCAAAATCGCGTTGCACCCTGGTTTTCATGATCCACATGTATATCTATAATAATAATAGTAATACAATTATAAAAATCTACACATAATTTCAGCTGTAACACGTATTCAAACCAAACTATAACAGTATGTAATAGTGTTTAATTTTTTCTTCCTATAATGGTACCGAACGAATGATTATGGCTGCTGGTTTATGAAAAGGAGCAGAATAAAGGCAGATAACTGTTTGATTGCTTGTTTTATTCATTTTTAGATAACCCCCATACCCTATTATACATAAATCACATATTTTAAAACAGAAATTGTATTTTACTTAAACCAGAAATACAACAGGAACATGTTAAAAAAAATTCTTAACAGGCACATGTAAGCAATGATTTGTTTTTTAATCTGTACAATAATGACAGTAGAAAATGCTCACTTCATTAACTTATTCATTAGGTACCTTGTGTATGTAGATTTTCTTGTGCATGAAGCTATAAATCCAATCTAATCCAAAATCCAAACAAATATTATAAATGCGAAAGTAACTTTGTCTGTCTCTTCATCACGCCTAAAGGTGCTCCCACACAGCATTTATATAATTATACAACATTGTGACATTTATAACAGCGTGCAACAATACTCTACAACATGTTAAGAAATGTTATATGTTATAAACGCTCCCAAATTAGTTGAACTCGTTGTATAACATCGTATAACATTATGTTCAATGAGTTCGGGTTTGTCTTGCGAGGAAGGTGGTAGTGAACCAATAATGGAGGAAGTGCTGGTAGGTTTGGCGTTTGTTTGAAAAAAAAGAAGAAAAGGCGCTCTTACTGGATGCGTCGAACTCTGAAAGCGAGAGAACAATACAGTGCTACAGAATATTTGAAAGATTTGGGCCTTGATGGCTGTTTGAACGATTTTTTAAGAATGTAAATCAGTTGTAAAACATTTTGTTAGGTAAATGAAGTTGTATAACATCAATAACAATTTATTATAATTTGTAACAATTTATAACTTTTGTTATAATTTGTTTAAAAAAGTCAGTCTCTAACGTTATATAACTGCTGTGTGGGAGCACCTTAAACTACTGAACTTATTTGTGTGAAGTTTGATACAGACATAGTTTGGAACTCGAGAAAGGACTACCTACCTAATTTTTAAAACAAAAATCTGGAGGAACTCACTATTCCACGAGAACAAGAACGAAGTCGCAAAAGCTAGTAAATAAATAAACAGAACTTATCCATTCATTCATAGTTATTCTGGGTTGTCGTGGTGGCTTGAAGGTTCAACCTGGCAAGTACTAATAATATATCCTCATGATCATTAGAAACAGGAATTAATAAGAAATTAATTTTTATAAGGGCTGATTTTACCATAGTCACATAAATGTTACCTGAGAAATAAATATGTTGAATTTACACAAACATTCTGACGCGACAGCATCACAAAAATTATCTAACCATTGACGAATCAGCCCTAAATAAAGAATGTGTGTGACAAGTTGACTTAATAAAAGCATTTCTATTCGCTTATATTATACCACAACATACCTATACCAGAGTCCATTCCATAAGTAATTAGAAAATAGTTCAGGTTGGTAATACCTAATGGTTAAAATAAAACTATTACGTGTGTAAATTATCCATTCTCAAAAGTATACAAATAATGTAAGAAGTTCAAGTAAAAATAGAACGAAAAAAGCGCACAATACTTTTGAATACGCCCGCCAGACCAACATAGACTATCAATTTTATTGAAACCATAGAGTATAAACTCTTCAAAGCTGTCAACAAAAACAACATGCATTTATAACCTAAACTGAGATTTACAACTTGTTTAAGCATAATTATTATTATTCCGATAATTTATGTCTAATGCATGATCATTATTTATATTATTTTATCAAGTGTAACTTCTTAGCTTAGTTAAATGATTTCACTACTGCAATAATTAAACGTAAAGCGATCTGTAGTGAAGTGAAACTATCGATATGAGTAGTAATATTTTGTGGCCATATCGATCTACATAAAATAAATATAGAAGTTTATAACGTTAAGTCAATTTGGTTTTAATTATGTTTTAAATGCTACAGCACAATTTAAACCGATAATGTTATTATACATTTGACACCAAACTGAATAATTTATGAAATAAGGATTAAATTAGACAAAAAGAAATACCTATTTGAAAGAGAGATTTTTTTTAATTTTGTATACTAGTGACCTACGACCTGCCTTGGCTTCGTTAGGGTGAAATGCTGATCCTAAATTTCTCCTCTATTGATTGGATAATAATATGACTATCATGCATTATAACATACTACATACTTGACCCAAAGGTTGACTGGTAGAGAACGCTATGGCATTAAGTCCGCCTTTTGTACCAACTTCATTTCATTGTGTACAATAAAGCATAGATTATACTATTATAAACCTGCGCTTTCAATCACTTTATCAATTAAAAACGTGAATCTGTTGCGTTTTATACTATGTAGTGATATAATCAAAAATTAAACGTCAAAATGAAATACGTTGCATCGTTACGATACGATGCCCAACCAACAGTGCTCCACCAGTCAGTCGCTTGATCGCATCCGCATCACTATTCCTCGTCCGGTCTGACAATATGGCGGAATTTCTTATCAGCAAAGCAGTGAATTTGTAAAATATTTGACGAAAATAGCAATTTATAAATAGAATTTAAAACAAGAACAGATTATATTAAGTAGAAAGGACCTATTTAGCACCGATTCTTGTCTTGAACTGTTTACATTGGTTACAAAAATAACCGCGTACCGAAATATTTAATTGAACATCTGACAATAATAATAAACATGAGCATTATGTTTGAAAAGCATTTAGTACGATAATTTGCGTAGATAATTACGTCACGGCGGCCTCATGTGTCGGGATTACCGTTTGTGCATCGTGAAGATACGCAGTGAAGGTCCATAATGATTCACGAGGTTAATTGAGGTTTTACTTCAATAATACGTAATTGGTCCGTAAGCGTTACGCGATAAGTGTGTGTAGTTTCGCCTTCATCGGGCGTTGACTCGTCTCGCAGGAATCCGGTAGAAACGCGAGTGACTAATTGATGAAATGATTGAGAGTGTATCAAGACGTGCCTTTAGTAGTTCCAGTGGAACTTACAACGTGCGTGCATCGGAGCTGGCGCGCGAACGCAAGCTCAACATCTTCAATGTCACTGTGCAGTTTCTGGACGACACCCAACAATCATTTCAAATTGAGGTACCAGCTTAATATACTATGTATGAATTACATCCTTATTGGAGTCCAAAGAGGCTTTAATATCGTGTATTATCTCAGCTGCAGGACCTGGGAGGCTAAAACCTAATGTACATATTCTGTCTATGGTGAATGCTACACTATAATAACACTAAGATCATACATAAATAGTGTCCCATAACAATTTAGTCTCATTTATTTAAATTTTGTTTTCCTATTAAAACTGCCAGAACCTATTGAAGGAAAATGAAGTATTCATGTAGTACTTAACTCAATATTTTGTATTTAATTATATTTTAGAGATAAAAATTCAATTGTTAAACAAATTATAATATATCTTATTGTCAAATTAAAGTGTTTTAGCCTATGAGCTGCCCAAACAGATTAGTTCTATGTTAATTTTCACTGGAATTATTGAAAAAACAATACTGGTAATAGGCTCTCAATATTATATACCGTCTTCCTTATTATATGTCACACATAGATCATAAAAATTTTATTCTATATTCAAATTTATCTGGCACACAGCAGCATTCAAACATTACGGAATAGTTCCTTAAACTTAGAGTTGTTAGTGTTTACAAAATAGTCTCCATGTGCCCGACTCGAGTCTGACGCTCCCTTGTACCTAGGGTGAAAGAAGTCATTTGATGCTCTAAGATTGATAACAAGCAGAATATACATTTAATGTATAGAAGTCCTATTAACCCTTCAACCGGTCAATCATGGCAATTTGAGGCACAATAGAAGAACAATAAGAACACAAGCACCGATGTTGTCTTGGGGTTTGTTGAATTAATCTAGGAAATAAAAGCTAATTATTATGTATAATCATCGCTACACAAGCTATGCTAGACTTGTATATGAACAAACTATTGATTGTGCAGAAATATCACACATTAATTCTTAAAACTCTAAGTGAATGCCAGCATTCAAGCTCTTTTTGTGTTACTTACTATTGTCTCCAATTTTTTGTATGGCCATGTGTACCATTTTCAATGCCTTTTATCATTAAAACAAAATTGACATCAGATAATGACAGTCTATCTTCAAACTGGCCTTGGAAATAATCTGTTTCTTATTAATACTGTAATATATATCATATAATTTTAACAAAATTAAGGTCAATTACATATTGAGAAATGTATTTACATAATGTAACTGGTCAGAAGAGGGTGTTGGTTCTCATTTGTAAATGCAATATAAAAAGTGATATTCAATCAATCAGTTTTGCATAATATCAACCATCACCCAAAAAAATCACCAAAGCTTATTTTCCCTAAACAGCCTTGCGGCTGAGAATATAAGAATGACAAGAATATTAAAAAAATGCATTTATGTGATAGGACAGCAAAATTGCTTGTGGATTACCCGATGGCTAAACAATCAGACACTCGCTACACCACAAGAGTTGCAAGTCCATTGCCTTTTGAGATTAGGGTTTCAATGATTTAAGGATTGGGGGTAAATATTTTAAAATAGAGTATTGAAATACAAGCTATGTCTTTTTTTGTGATTGCTATATGTTTGTATCAATGAAATAGGTAAATCAGATGTCAATCACAGAGCAAATATATTTCCCTACTTATATGTTTAAATTTTGTGCAACCATATACTTAACATAATCTAAAATATTGTTTGTTATTCTTTCCAGAAAAAGGCTAAAGGCAGTGTTCTTCTAGAGCAAGTTTATCAACACTTGGAACTAGTAGAAAAGGACTATTTTGGGTTACAATTTACCGAGAATGGATCACCTCCCAACTCCACAAACTCAGAAATAACAGTAAGTTTTATTTCATTTTCTTATAACTACCAATAATTCTACTCTTCACAAAGATGATATGTTTTGTAAAGCAATGTAGGTACCTAATTAGAATAGAAAGCAGTCTTGAATATACAGAAGTGATTATTTAAGTATTTTATACAGTGGCAGATTTTTATTTAATATTATAAGTATTTGATACCCCAAGGCATGCTACATACTACATTATTCTGTCAAATTTTCCTAATAGTAGTCCTATTAGGAAAATTAGTTAATAAATCCCTATAATCTATAAATCTATTGTAAAATATGTTTTCATGAGTATAACTGAACCTAATGCTTAAAATGAAATAAATAAGTATTATAAAATAAAACTAAAAATGTCAAATCTACATAAAATGAAGATGTATAATTTGTAAGTTTGTATGTAGGGGGTAATCTTTAGAATCGTTGGTCAGATTTACAAAATTCTTTTTATGATTGATAGCTACAATGTTTCTGAGTGCTATAGGGTATAAAACATCACGCTACTATCAAAGGTAGCTGAGCAGGGTTTTGGGATTTAGTAAAACAGCGCGAGAGAGACTAGTTAAAAATTAATTTTATCAACAAAAACCATCTGAGTTCATCAAAAACCCCCTCAGATCCTCATCATTGTTATGAGATAGGCTGCCCAAGACTGATAGAGAGAGATGCCACAGAATAGCAATACTTATTTTTGAGACAAAAAATTGTTTTTAAATAATTTGTGTAAGTACATATAATTAATTAGTACTTAATCTATCTAATTTAGCCTACATTAAATGTTTTAGAACTATTATCAAAAGTTCGTAACAGTCCTATCCAGAAAGATGCCTTCTCTATAATTATGTGCCATAATCTCGACTTGCATCCGCAGTTTCACAGGTTTAGTAGAACCTTGTATGTTCTTATAATACCTACTCGGGAGAAATATTGTATAAAATGATTCTCTATGCTGCATGCTTTAAATTCTACTTTATTCTGCACGACATGCATGTCCCATACATTTAAAGATCTAGAATAATGTTCAGTATAAAAGAGAAGGATTGTCATTTGACGAATAGCACATATCACCATCTCTTTCTCTCACATACATACAATGAATTTAAACAGATGACTGTTGATTGCATAATTGTTTAAGATTTATTGGTCCAGTTGTGTAGTAAGTAGGTTAATTGTTGATATATTGAGAGCAATGTTTATTCGTGTATTTACTAGGATGATGTAGTTGTTTACATTGGAGATTTTGTGTTGATAATATTTTGGTAGTATTCTAAACAGATCTAATACTAAACTTTTTCTAATAATGCTTTTATTCTATTAAGTATTGAGACAGTAATGCGTATTACAATGCAACTGTGACTTGACTTATTCTTTTATAGAAGAAAAATCATCAGTGTCTTCTCCTACCTAGTGTGAGGAGTCAGAGTTTTACACAGTTTAGCACACTGCAAATACATTAAGCTATTTACTGTACTCTTAACATTGTCAAAAGTTGGTAATAATTAAAATAAAAAATAAATTTTTTTGTTTGAGTAATAAATTCGACTATAAATTGTTGTTCCGGGTCTGGGTGTGATTTGCACGTATGTAAAATTATGTTTGTAAACGCACCCACAACCCGGAAAAACATCAAAGTGTGGGGTAACGTTTAAAAAACTATATTTCAAATTACCAATAGCGAAACTCCAAATTTAATTGTAAATTGATTCTAACACTACATTTAGGTACAAGCAACATTTAGGTATATAATTAATAATTCGCATTTCCTCTACACGCCTATCATAATGTGTTCAAGTGTGTTTTATATGTTCCTATATTTAGTATTATTTATTGAGAATTGCAAATATGGGAAACCATACAAACAAAAGTTGATAGGCCCAAAGCATTCCTCATTTAAATTCTATATTATAACTCACGGAATGATGACTATGAGTCCCAGTCACTTCTTGAAATTTGTCGAGCACTCTCGAACAGTTTTGAAATTAAGCCTAATCATCGAACTAGATTTTACGTGCGATTTTGCCCGCAAAAAATTGTTGATAAAGTATAAAAAGACTACAAACAAACGCACGTAAAATATTAGCTGTTTCTAATTGTTCATCTTATTACATAACGGACAATAAAGATATTAACTAGTCAGTCCAGACGATTCTCACATTAATCATTCGTTAAAATTGATTAAGAAAAATTCGCACTACTTAATTGCACCTGCTTAGTTTTTGCCGCTTAGAACCGTGTGAGGCGATATCTATGATTCATATTATTATAATCAATACGATTCATTCTTAAATCGCAGAAATTTATACATATACACTATGAACTTTTTAATAGCTCAATGTCATGTTATGACTCATTTTTATAGTGTTCCAAGTATTTTATTATGGTTTCAACAGCTGTCTGTCTAGTCGGTTCTTATATTTAATGGCGTCTTTGAATTTCTTATGCACTGAACACCCTGCTATGAGTCATAGGGTATCCTGAACACATGTCGGGGATGCAGCGTGGTGTAGCGTGGTGATTAATCCTCTAACCTTCTCCGTATGAGAAGAGGCCTTTGCTCAGCAGTAGGCACTTATAGGCTGATGATGATGATGATGATGTCGGGGATGATATCTTCTTCTATAATATGGCTCTTTTTAATCGGTGTCCCAATGCGTTTTATAGTAGAAAAGTTCCTTAGTTTGACCGCTATTAAATGCTTCTTCGTTATGTACCAATATAAGTAAAAAAATCCACATCGCGTCTTTTTATTTCGCATTAAAGTCAAAAATGATTGATAGATTTCTTATTCAATTCTCACCAGTCCGTAGCGGGTAGAGTTGTTCATTACGTTGAAGTAACTAATATTTCGTAAATGTTATAATAACTCGATTAAAGCTTCGTGTCGTCCACATAATAGTGTAAATGAGTCTAACACACAACAATAAAAAATAGGTTTTTAACTTAAACGGTTTTACCTTATGTCCACTGAAAACTAGAAATAAATAAATAGTTAATTACTTATATTTTTATTATAACTTTCCTGAGACATTCTAAATTAATCCTAATCCTAGCCCATGCATGGGCCTCTAGCATGGCTTGAAACTAGTCGAGTATCTCGTCAAATTATTACGTGAGTAAGCCAAAAATATAATAAATAGTTAATTCCTACTGAGGTGGTCCCGATCATTACTCTCTATCATGGTAGGGTCGTCATAACTTGAATCATGTCAGTGGCGAAATGGCGGGTCATGCTAGAATACTAACACCAGGATTTCCTAGGTAGGTAAACTAAGCAGCCGACACCATAACAATTAGTTTTTGAACATTTAGTCAGAAATATTTTAGTAATTGGCAGAATTGCTTTTAATAAAATCGTTTAAAAACTGCTGAACGGATGTAGATGAAATTAGACTCAGACATACATGTGAAAGTCTGGAATAATACACCTAGGCTTCTTTTTACCCTGGTAACTACTCGTACTACGGGCAAAGCAGCTGGCTGGAGCTAACAACTTGTTGATATAAATATCTACTATACATACATGTTTAAGTTTAATAAATATTTTCCTGTCTTTAGTAATAATTTAATTAGCATTGATTCAAGGCGTGCGTAACGGATAAACCACGTGTAAATTACTGTAATCCGAGGCAAATTAGTAGAAATTACGAACAAAACGAATACAATGTACCTATTTCTTAATTCTTGTTGCGTGATTCTACAGTTTAACATGTCGTCGTTTTAAAACTAAGGTTGTCTTTATTTCTCTAACGTGATACTGGCTATTCTTATGTGTTCACAAGGTTTTTTTTTGTATATTTCAATATTGTGATGGTAATGTTGGTACCAAATTCGTGCCAAAACTAGGAGCCACTCGGATAACGTACCAGTATATGCCCCTATGCGGTGAAGACTTAATGGCAGAGTAGAAACGGTTGTCATCACCCCTTTTTGACAAACCTAAATCTTTCAGGCTATGTGCAATCCGCCAACCAACATAGTGACTATGGCAACACTTCATAAATTTCTCCACAACTTAATCGATGTTATTATACATATAAACTCTTCAGTCACTCTACCTATTGCCGTTAATCCGTTGCCCAGTGTTAAAGATGTATACATAGGGATATAGGAACAAAGAGAGTGATTTTGTTTTATAATAATGTAGTGATAATTACCACAAACCGATATAAAAATGGGCCCACACATATCATGTGTTTGAAATTCTTTATTAGATTTGCAGGGTTAGATCTACGTTTTTTTCTTTATTAGTGTAATTTTATTTATTCTGTAGTTTCTGATTGATTTATGCAATGACACGCCTATCAGATTTTGTGATGAATTTAAGTTTTGGCGGATTTTTTCTCAAGCGTTTGAGACTTCAAGGTCTGTCTTGATTTGCATGAAGGTTTTATTTATTAAAATATGTTCAATTTAAAGAATAAAAAGTTATGTTATTGCCTTGTCGGCCGAAGGTTTGTAAGTGCAACAAGGTCTAATAATTTCGTAATTTTATGTATGAAGTTTTTCGGCGATTGGATGCATCTATAAGGTGACCTTCAGTTAGTCCTTAAGAGATTGTTAAAAAAAATGTTTTATAAGTAAATTGTGTTCGTTTGCCGACCTATCCCATAAAATCAAAGATAAACATATTTTTAAATCAGCCGATATGTACTAAGCGTCACTAAAATTAATATTTCCAAAAATATGTAGCTCTTTTGTTTAAATCTCGTTCTAAATTTAAATTTGCACACTCATTCAAACTGTAGGTCAGCAGTTGTCCGCTAAAGACTCGGTGAAGACATCTGTAATTTTTTTTTGTTTTTTTTTTCTTTGCACGGTCTTGACGCGCGATGCTCTGCCAATGTCAACGACAGCTAATAATGGATCTATCGTGTATTCATTGTTTTAGTTGATGGACAATTGAGGTCAATAAGTTTTTATCGTTACGTGTATTAAGATAGGGTTTTATTTACATCGAAGCTTTGAGAATTGAAGCTTGATGTAGGATAGAAAATATGTTTTTTGTTGCTAACTTTCTGAAACAGGCAAACACAACCGAAAATGGTAGTATTATAAGTTAGAGGGATGTACGATGATGTGAAGTAGTTTTCCCGAATTTTCCAACAATTTTTTTTTTCGGGTAGGCTAATTTCACACTTATAAAGACTGTAAATTAAGTCTAAAACCATGTTTCGTTCACAGCGTTGGCTGGACAGTACGAAATCGGTAAAGAAACAAGTTGGTGCAAACGCTCAATTCTGGTTGGCTGTGCGTTTCTACCCGCCGGAGCCGTCACGATTGGCTGAAGAGTATACAAGATACCTATTGTGCCTTCAACTGAGGAAGTTGCTGCTTGATGGAAGAATGAATGCCCCGAAAAACACCGCCTTATTACTAGCTTCGTTCACTGTACAAGGTATGTTTTTAAGGATCTTTTTTTATGTGATGTAACGGCAAACGATCAAACTGATTACCTGATAGTAAGCAGTCAGCGGCATCCATGGACAACCGCAATAACAGGAGCTATGAATGCTTTGCCTTTTGGGGATTAGGGATTGGTGTAGGAAAAAGGTTGGGCCTCTGGTAACCTCACTCAAACTGTTGTTTCACGCCCGGTTTTCTGTGAGGCCGTGGTATCACTCCGGTCGAGCCGACCCATTTATTCTCTCCCACACCTACTTATCGGTTAGTTATATTGTACTGTATATGTATAACTGAATCTTCAATTCATCATATGTAAATGGTTAGACCGATTCCGATAATTCATTTTTATGAAGGATCGTATAAAAGAAAATATTACAAAAGAAGAGAATGTCGGGTAGTTTTTTTTTATGCAATAGGTCGGCAAACGAGCAGACGATTACCTGATGGTAAGCAATCAGCGCCGCCCTTGGACACTCGCAACGGAGGAGTTACGAATGTGTTGCCGACCTTTTAGGGATTAGGATTTGGGTGTAGGGAAGGATTGGGCGTCCAGTAACTCACTCACACGGCGAAACACAACGCAGTGGTTATTTCACGCCGGTTTTCTGTAAGGCCGTGGTATCACTCCGGTCGAGCCGACCCATTCGTGCCGAAGCATGGCTCTCCCACACTTAATTTCAACCCTTTTAGGACTTGCTTCTTCTGTAGTTGTCCGCTAACAAAACAAATTACTGACAATGTGGTCGTCACACATTCTGAGCATATGTGTATCACTGTTACAAAAGGGAGAAATACTTAATTTATTTTTCCTTGCGTGTCATTTGCTGAGCGAAAGCAATCCTTGTTATCTTATAATTACATCACAAAATTAAACACACGAACAAAAATTACTCATAAAATACATATTATGTCATGTTGTTCTAATGACGTTAATATAAAGGTTTGACGTAGTTTAAAACAATAAATAATAATCCAAGTGTGACGTCAATTTTAGACGCGTCTTCTGAGTATATAATGTTTATTAAATATCTTGTAATTTTGGAGACGTTTTTATACTATACTAAGTACTCTCGCACAGTTTCACCCGCTGATCGGCTCCTGCAGATCGTAGCGTGAAGTTTTATAGCCTAAAGCCTACCTTAATAAACACAAAAAGATTTTTTCAATTCGAACCAGTAGTTCCTTATATTAGCGCGTTCAAACAAACAAACTAACTCTTTAGCTTTATCTGTAAGAGATTGATAGACCTGATCCGATTTGATTCAATATAATCCATAGTTGATTGAGTATACTCGGTTGTTAATGAGCCAAATAAATAAATCGAACTTTGTAAAGACATACTTAATGGCATTCAGTAGTAGAGGAAAGGCTAAAAAAAATAAAAAATAGGAGTAACATATCTCAAATTGATAGTGTAACTTGTTGTCGATAGGTACTTAAACCTCCCGTTTGTAGATGTAGGTAATGCAGGTCGTCTCACATTCATATAAACATTATATATTACTTTATTATGTATTATTGGTATTTACACATACACTGAATTATATTAACTTCGCTGATAACGTCAGGAAAGTTTAAACGAGTATATATTAATATTCATATGAATGTACAAATGTCGAGTTGGAAAACCCAAGAACTAAAATTCGAAGTTAATTCCCAAAACTCCAATCCTTTAATCCCTGACAATCCTCAAATAGTTTTTAGGCTTAAACCTTTTGTGTTTACGTTTAATCAATAATATATTGAAATTCACCATACAAGTTTCCTTGATGGAAAAAATATTTTCCTGTATCCTTCAAATTTACAATGGAGAAAACCCACGCATTTGACTTACTATTGACTTACTATAGGTTCTATTAAGTTAGTTTTTGAAATCTGATCCAACAGACAAACTGTGTATACAGTTTTGTTGGACATTTTATACTTTTTATAATGTAAAATGTACCTTTTAAGCAATAATAAATAATAAATAAATTTAGGTATCATACGCGTAAAGTGAAGTGACAAACAAACCACATAATCACATTAGTTTTGGTATCAGCTCGGTGACCTTTTTCATGTTAAGTCGGCAAACGAGCAGAACGGATTACCTGATGGTAAGCAATCGGCGTCGCCCGCCAAAGAAGAGTTATTCCAAGTGCGTTGCTGGCCTCTTGTGGCAAACTAGGCAATCATCATCATACATCATCAGCTTATAAGCGCTTATTGCTGAGCAAAGGCCTCTCCTTATACTTATATTAGGGTGTAAATAAACTTAAAATAGATTCATATATTCATATTTTTTTGCATTGTATTTCACCATGTCCATCAACTCCTTAGCCGCAAGCAGGCGTTCTCTTGATTGTTGCTTGGATTCCCCATACCTCTCGAAAATATCCCTCAATATACCCTTAAAAAAGGTACATTGGTACTTGTTGTGTTTATTTTATATTTTCTTTTTTTCAGCGGAGTTAGGTGACTATAACGTTTCGGAGCATCCACCAAACTATCTATCCGAGCTCTGTCTCCTGCCGAAACAAAACGCGGAGGACGAGCGCCGTATCAGAGAACTACACAAGTTACACAAAGGACAGTCCCCGGCGGATGCTGAAGCGAATTTCCTGGAACACGCCAAGCGATTAGACTGTTACGGAGTTGAATCGCATCCTGCCAAGGTAATATATCCTTTTTTACATTTTATATAACAAATAAAGGACTGGTTAAAATAAAAAGATGCAAGTATTGTACAAAACTTATGGTTTTTTTATAGTAACTATCGTGATACACATTCAATTGGTTGAAAGTAACGACTTTCTGACGTGAAAGAGCCAATAGACCACCACAGACGGGTCTCTATAGGGCTGATGTTCAGCCGGGGTTGCGGGGTAAGCGCAATGAGGCAGTCAGTAAGAGTCTGACACTCCCACACGCCATTTCATGATTTCTCCTCACAAAAAAATGGTACGATTTTCATGAAATCGAACTGTTAGTTTTCACAATTGTAATATTAGTAAAGATGGTAATTTTTTTCATGAATGAGTACGTTATTTACGGCGTCATAAGTCCTAAAATGGCCCTATTAGAAAATAGTTTACATTAATAATAAATAACTCATAAACTTCGATAAAATTTAAGTGTTCTTCTATGTTATGTTTGAGAAACAAAATTTTAATACTACATTTACTTATATTTGTGGAATCTTATGTTTATACAGAATTACAGAAATCAGATCTTACCGTGCAAATATTTATATTAATCACCCATTGCCAAGCCCTTTATTTTTGACTCATATTTCTAGAATTCATATCATTCAAAAACAGCGTCGATTAATCGAAATTCCAGTTATTATTGGTGATCTCATATTATATGAAGTTTAATCTGAAAGTTTGATTTAAAGTTGGCTTATTGGTTAATATTAGGTTGGCGCCAACATTGGTTATCATAACACAATTATTATCCTGTCCTGTGACCCAATTCATGTACTGATTTTATATCTGTACATACCATTAAACGTAATTTATAATTGTGTTGTGACATAGGCATATTCAAGCATAAAATTGATGTAACCGATTTTTTATTAGTTTTCTATAGAAGAATAATAGGAGATATATTTTTTTTAATCTGTGCCCCACACTAGGATTTTCTCCTGTGTCGTGGGTGCGGTTACAAACATACAATTTCACATGTACATGACACCCAGACCCGGAACAACAATTTGTGGGTCACACAAAGAGTTGTTTCGTGCGGGAGTTGGACCCGCGACACGTTGCACGGCAGCCAGTTGCCCAGCCACCGTACCAACCGTACAGTCAATATTTTGATCCGTGAATGATATTATCTTCCAAATGGTTATTTTTTATATGGGTCATTTCACTAAGTGAAACTTATTTGGCAGTAATGAAGCCGGCTCTAACAATTTATTTCTAACTTCCAGGATTACAACGGCAAGGATATATTCATCGGGGTCACATCTATAGGAATAGTTGTGTTCCAGAATAATATACGAGTCAATACATTCTCTTGGAGCAAAATCGTTAAGATTTCCTTCAAGAAGAAACAGTTCTTCATACAACTGAAGCGGGAGCCTGTAAGTACTAAGTTGGTTATCATCACCAGCCTATAAGTGCCCTTTAAACAGAGGCTACTTCTCACATGGAGCAAAACGCTTGTTCCAGACGTGTATATAAAAATAAACCTCTTTACACCTTCCATCTCAAAATCCCTATGCAGTAAGAGTCTGATACTTCCTCTCGCTTTACCCTGGGTGATAGAAGCCATGTGATGATTTTCCCCACACAAATAAGACCTTATACTACATTAGTGTTATCTGGTCAACGTAAACAAAATGTATACCCTCAATTCAAATAAAAATATGCCTTTTTATGTGCATGGTCAGCAAATGAGCAGAAGGATTTCCTGATGGTAAGTAATTGGCCCCGCCCATGGACATCCGCACCACCAAAGGAGTTACGACAGCGTTATCGGCCATTTGGGGACAAGGGCTAAGATTATTTAAAGGTTGGGAAGAGGTAGGGGAAGGACACGACAAAACACAACGCTGTGGCTGTTTCACGCCGGTTTTCTGTGAGGCCGTGGTATCACTCCAGTCGACCCGACCCATTCTCATCGAAGCTTGGCTCTCCCACCACACTAATAAAGCCTTGACTACATGTTCTAAAAATAAATTAACTACTTTTACAGTCAGAATCATACGACACAGTCCTCGGTTTCAACATGCGGTCTAGTCGAGCGGCTAAAGCGCTGTGGCGCTGCAGTGTGGAGAGGCACGGTTTCTTCAGACTTCGGGCACCGAGGAGACGAGCGCTGTTAGCAGCGCTGGGAGCGCTGGCCGGGTTAGCTGCACCAACTGTACCTAGAACTGAGACAATGGCTTTAGAAGACGCGAGACGATCGAGATCGACGAATAGGAGTTTTGTTAGGTGAGTGTTTCATATTCTATAAGAAAACATCATTATTATCTGCCAAGTATCAAGACTTGATTCATCATCATCGTCATCATCATCAGCCGGTAGACAAAGGCTGCTGGGCAAAGGCCTCCCTCAAAGGTCTCCACGCCGAAAGAGAAGAGAGTCTCCCCTCTCATCCACCTAGTAGGACGTCTGTCCACGTTACGTCGCCCATAATATAAACATAATTACGCAATTGAATATTATTATTAATTTTTGATTACTGATTTTTTATGAGGCCATTGTGTAAAAATATTATTTTGCCAAAGAGCATAAAATGTTAATTACTGTAATATTATATAAGTATTATTTACTGTAACTGATAAATGAGAAAAAAAAGACTTACATAGAGTAACGGTCATGACTCTCCCAAAGACTTTGTCAGTTGAAGTTTGCTGACCGTCTTTGTAAAGATTCTTCAGACAATAGTTTTGTATCTTTTGAAGTTGATTATAATACTTACCATTAACTAAATAATTTTCCTTGCAGACGTAGCAGTTCCCGTCCCCGCGAGCGTTCAGTAGGCATGTCTCCAGCAAGCGGTATGCGTGGATCCCGCGTCACTGCGCACTGTGAGCCCGCGCCCCGCCCCGCATGGGGGGACCTCGACAGACCTAGCTCCGATATCATGTATGTATAACTACTATTAACATGAAAACACAATGATATTAATGAATAGACAAATAACTTAAGAAATCGGCTTTACAGTACACAAGGTCGCGAAACAGTTTTCTCTCTGGCAGGCCCGATCTGGAGAGAGGGTGCGCGCGTTAAAAAAATGGCGTACGGCTTGTGTTGCCCGCCCTCGCTTAGTAGGATTTTATCGTTATCCCTATCACTACTAATAGTTTTATTGTATAAGTCCCATAACAACTTTGAAAAACAGGATTTATAACTTATAGAATCCTGGGTTTTATTAAATACCAGTTCAAAGTTATAATTATCTGGTATATCAGCGACAAGAAAAGTAACTTTGGAATTTAACTAAACTTTAGTTTCGACTCAAAACTGGGATTTTTAATAACTTTAATGATATAATTGATCTGCAGGGCCGGGCGGGAGGGAGTGTCGGACTCTTACTGACTAAAAACCCTCCTGTTCCTTCTCCTGCTCTGTGCCGAGGTCGCTGTGCCTCATTGCGCTTACCCCGCAACCCCGGCATGATATCAGTCGGTTGGTTGCGCAACGTCGCCGCGACGCGCACTGTGCTCATGACTTGAAACTAGTAGAGCTTATCTCAATTAATTCACGCGAATAAGTCGTTTTAATTTTTAATAAATTTATACTAATAATATTTAATTAAATTTACAGCGAAGGCGACTTCTTAGAGCGAGTCCTCCGTATGCCCCTGTCCTACGTGGACGAATCGGAGTCAGGCTCAGAAGGGGCGGAGTCGGCGGAGTGTGGGGGAGTCAGAGTGCGGTTGGAAGCAGGATCTGACGGACTGTTCGGGTTCAATGTCCGGGGAGGGGGGGCTGCCCCTGTACTCGTATCGAGAGTTGCTAGTCGGACTAGATTGCAGTTGCAAGAAGGGGATCAGGTTAGTACCTTTAGTGTTTGGAGTCTGGATCAGTGCGGAGTCGTTGGAGTTTTGTGGATTTGGGTGGGTTGTGTTTTGCGTTAGAGTAATGACGTATAAGTAGCAACTTTTGTTTTTTTATGTGATAGCGCGGCAAACTAGCAGTCTGGTTACCGATCTCTCGACCGGTAAGCAATCAACGTTGCTTGCTTATGAACACCCACAACAGCGGAGGAGTAACGATTGCGTTGCCCACTTTTAAGGGATTTGGGGAATGGGGTGGGATTGAGCCTCCGGTAACCTCATTAAAACGGCGTAAAACAACGTTTCAGATTGCGTTGCCCACTTTTTATGGATTTGGGGATTGGGGAGGGATTGGGCCTCCGGTAACCTCATTAAAACGGCGTGTGGTTGTTCCACGTCGGTCTGTGAGGCCGGTGTATCACTCCCGTCGAGCCGACCCATTCGTGTTGAAGCATAGCTCTCTGACGCATAAATTTGTTCATTATGTCAATTAATAACAAATTATTTTGATGAGAACTTTTTTCAGATATGGAGTACATTGACTTTGCCTTTTCATTTCTGTTTAAACTATGCATCTTTATAAAACTAGAATTTGTATTACGCGAATTGCCCTTGATCTCATACTATTTTCTTTAAACGTAGCTTAACATTCACCCTAATTATTACTAACATAAACTACCTTTCTAAATTACAGGTAATTTCTATAAATGGGACAGATGTAGATGAACTGACACACGAACAAGTCGTACAGCTGATTAGAAACACGAGGGGTGTTCTGACACTTGTCGTCAAACCAAATGGTAAGAATTCCCTTCAGTTCAGAGCTCTGAACTGCCAATAGACTACTATAGACAGGGCCCTATAAGACTGATGCTCAGCCGAGCTCGCGGGTTAAGCGCAATATGGCACCGCGACCTCGGCCTAGACCAAGAGAAGGAACAGGGGGGGTTTTAAGGGTTTTAAGTCAGTAAGAGTCTGACACTCCCTCCAGCCCCACCCTGAGTGACAGAAGTAATTTGATGATTTTCCCCTAACAAGAAAAGACGAACTGTGAACTAGTTATATCACTTTAAAAACACAAGATGATCACAATAATACATATTTTATATCAATAGACAATCATTGATTTACTTTTATATAACTCAACTCAAAAATACAATTTTCATTTTTTTATGACTGCAAACGAGCCGACGTTTAGACCTGATGGTAAGCAATCAGCACTGCCCCTAGACACCCGAACCAACAAATGAGTTACAAGTGCGTTGCCGACCTCTTGGGTATATAAACGATTTAGGGGTTGAGGGAGGGGAAGGTTTGAGCCTCCGGTAAGCTCAATCACTCTGCGAACGCTGTTCTTGTTTCACGCCGCTTTTCTGTGAGGCCGTGGTATCACTCCGGTTAGAGGCGACCTATTCCTGCCGAGGCATCAATCATTAAATTTTCAACCTTAATCCTATGCAACCTAAGTCCAAAATCTGTTTATTATTTATTCTATATATTCTAGTAACTAATCATTCATTCCAGCTGTCTACGCGCCCGAAGACCCAGGCGCAGAAGAACCAGAAGCATGCTTTGTCCCTCTCTTCTCAGAAGGCGACTCTAGACCAGAAGGGGACGCTCTAGAACAATCCATTTTGTTGCTAGGCGACGGCCTTGCCAGTGGGAATGCTCTCAAACAATACGAGACTTTACTGAGAAGGCTACCTGACGAACCAACGAACATATCAAAGCTGCCCTGCAATCTGAACAAGAACCGGTATAGGGATATTGCGCCTTGTAAGTACATTATTCCAATGTTTTATGCATCATCACCAGTTTGGAGGGACAGGGTGGAAAGTTCCTCTATTGAAAAGGGAAGATCCTCCGACCAGACGGGTTACACGATAGGATGGCAATCGAGCCGATGGATTACCTGATGGTAAGCAGTCAGTGCCGCCCATAGACACCAGCAACAACGGAGGAACTACGATTGAGTTGCTGAACTTTTGGGGATTAGGGATTGGGAAGGCGATGGATTGGGCCTCCGTTAATCAAACTCACACGGCGAAACACAACGATGTGTTTATTTCACGCCGGTTTTCTGTAAGGCCGTGGTATCACTCCGGTCGAGTCGACCCATTCGTGCCGGAGTATGGCTCTCCCACACTTTCACACAAAATTTAAGTATGTTTTTTTACAGATGATTCAACGCGAGTGATATTGAAAAACGGACCAACAGGCGACTACATCAATGCGTCGTATATCAATATGGAAATCCCGAACTCCGACACAGTGCTTACGTACATAGCAACGCAAGGTTTGTTGTTTGAAATTTACACTGTGTTACAAGACTATTCTATTTTTGTGTTAGAACTATCGTGGGATATGATACATTTATTGAGCACTAGCTTCCGCCTGCGACTTCTAAAGAGAAAAGTAGCCTGTGTTAACCCAGTGTTAAACACCTATCTACATACCAAATTTCCAACAAATCGGTCGAACCGGGTTTACTTGAAAGAATAACAAATATATGTATATCCATACATTATAACAAACTTTAACGGTGGTGATAGCGTCACATACACAGCTCTTGAAAAGGAGTCCCGTTGTGACTTTAAACTAGTACTTAGAGGTTTTCTTAATTAGACTATTGGTCAATTACTTCGACAAATGCGGGCAAACCATGCTTCGATACAGATGCGCTGGCTTATAGGTGATACCCGTCCTCAAAAATTAAAAATCTTTCGAACTTTTGTTGTGTTTTGAATTGTAAAATAGAGTTTCCCTCTTTAAAAAAGAGTCTGATTCGCTGCTCAAAGACCAGCTACGCATGTCTTACTCCTTCATTAGCGGCGAGGGTGTCCTATTGCTTACCATCAGGTGACTGTAACAATTAAGCACAAAATTCTCTTTTCAGGTCCTCTGTCGACAACAGTAGGTGACTTCTGGCAAATGGTGTGGGAATCAGAGAGCAGTCTTATAGTAATGTTGACCGTACTGACGGAGCGAGGCCGAGCCAAGTGCCACCAATATTGGCCCAAAGTTGGCACCACTCCGTTGAAGGCTACCAACGATCTCACGATATTCACCAACAGTGAACAGAACCACGGTCATTATATTAGGAGAGAGATGACTATAAAGGTATGCTCTTTTACTTTTTGCCATGAATAAATCTCTTTTAAGTACCTATATACCTTGGGACAGCCAATTCAGCACGAATAGGTGGCTCGACCGGAGTGATATCATGACTCTGCGTTCTCCTCCTCATAGAAACAAACAAAAATCTCAGAAATCTGTTAAGCCGTTTTCGATGTCTGCGCGCAACAACGCATATTTTTATCGTTCAATTGTAATAAAAAGCGCGTTTTCGCAAACTTCAATATTTTTTTGCACTAACATTTTCCTCTTGAATCGTTCTAAATGTCCGTGTTAATAAAAACTGCATCACAATGTGTCGACACTTAAGTTTTAATTCATTAAACCCCAAGCAAACTCCGGTTTGCGCACCTATTGTCTTATTATTGTGTGTCATATTACCCCGATTGAAAAGTTAAAGATAGATAACAAGATAGTATACATAAGGATAATAAAAAGATAGTCTGATTAATAATTAATATATAAATAATTAAATATAAATTCCTACCATTGTACCTAATTATCATGTAATTTATTAAACTTACTACTTCTTTTGCTGTGCCATATCAGGGTCCATAATATGTACCTAGATCTAAGACCTATACATCTTTGTAACATTATGGTATGCAAATAAATAAATATGAATAATATGAATAAGGACAGACAGCGAGAAGTGACTTTGTTTCATACTAATAAGTAAACACTAATAGTGATTATGGCTACCACCTTATTACTTTTGCAAATGATCTTTTTCTTGTTCAAGTATGTAATAAAGTATTTCCCCCCTCCCCCCAGGAGAGTACCGGCGCGAGTCGTGCAGTGTGCCAGTTGCAGTACACGGCGTGGCCCGACCACGGCGTGCCCGACGACGCCGCCGCATTCATCAGCTTCACCCAGCTCTGCTCGCAGCTACGGAACCGGCGGCCCAGTTCGTACAACTACTTTTATATTTTTACTAGCGACCCACGCCAGCTTCGCTCGCTTGCGATGCTGGTACTAAATTTCCCTACTATTTAATGGATACATTTTTAGAAGTCGAAATAGGTAGGTAGTGACTGGTAATTTAGCACGTTATTGTACTTATGATAACAAATAACTTTTCCAAAGAAACTGTATTTCTATACTTATTCGTTTAATTTGTATTGTATTGCAATAAGTAGGTGATGGTAGGTTTATTGAGAGCCTATCGACTCTAGACTTGAAGACACCTAAATCATAACTGAACGGGAAAACCGTTGCCAGCTATTTCAATCCTTAGATGTTTGTGGTATAAACAATGAATCTAAACGTTTAGACCGGGTGACAGTAATACCCGCCGTACATCGGGTTGTCCGATGGTAGAAAGGTGATGGTTGAATCAAATTATGTAGTTCCTGCGCACATTCTCCAAAATGTATCCTATACAAAACCTCTTAAATACATCATCTATACTAATATTATAAAGTTGAAGAACTACTGGTTCGAATCGAATTATTTTTATGTTTGTTAGTACATTTATCGAGGAAGGCTTTGTGATATAAAACATCACGCTACGATCTGTAGGAGCTGAGTAGCGAAAGAACCCACGTTAGAGTAGCTAGTTTAAAATAATATTTTATCTTCCCCAGTGATACCTACAGTTGTAGATCCCGAAGAGGGTGAAGAAGAGCGTGAATTGGACCCACCAATGATAGTGCATTGTTCCGCCGGCGTCGGTCGTACGGGCGCGCTCGTACTCTGCGAGGTCGCGCTCGCACTGGCCGCTAGAGGGCAGCCCTTGTACCCTTTGGATCTTGTCCGGGCCATGAGGGCGCAACGACCTATGTGTATACAGAATGCGGTATGTATACTTTATTTTTACCTTCTTTATTTATACCTTCTTCTCACAATCAGTCTGAATACCTTAAGGCGTCTAACAGTCAACCATATGGTAGTGCAGAGAGATCATGCGGTTAGTAGGAAGCAATGACACAGTGTCCCAGAAAAAATTATAAGAGGGGGAAGAAAACAGGAGAAACACACGATTCATGATAATATGTTAAATTTTAAGGCCAGTATTGTCCATCTGAACTGCAAATACCGGAATCTAAAATCTACAGACTCCAGAACATGTTTCTGTGCCAAAAATACAACTCTCAGCCACGTTGTATCATGTTTGAGAATTAATCACCAAGCTTGCTCAAGGCGCATTGACGATTTCAAACTTATGATAATAAATTATAAGTCTAGGATTTCTCACGGTGTTTTCCTTCACCGTATGTCAGTGATATCTTTGTAAAGAAACAGACAAAGAGCACATATAACTTGAAAAAAATCACATTGGTACTTGCCAGGTTTCAAACCCCCTCATGCATGAGAAGCGGGCGCCTTAACCTCCGGGCCAACAAGACATTACATTGTCTTGATAATTAAAAAACGGAAAATAGTCTTTTTAGTCTATTCAAATAAGCAAAGATTTTAGTCTATTAAACATTTAATAAGATACAAAAAGAAAATATTTCTTAAGTCAAAAATCTTCTTCCACAGAGTCAGTACAAGTTCGTATGTGAAAGCATACAGACTGCGTACACGCAAGGACTGACGAAGTCATCTTCAGACAACGGATCGAACTGATAGTAAGCTAACTCCCTTGCCAATTATTTATTGTACAGTCGATTATAACCTGACTGATTGTATTAAGGTATGTTTGTGTTCATTAGTATACGCTAAATCTTAAATTTAGACCTTAACCCCCTTATTACAAAACAAGGTTTATCTTTAGTCCAGGTTTAAACCATTGAGTCGGGTTTTGAATTTTGAATCTTATTGTCATCTACCTTCAGTTCGAAATACGAATACTGGCTCAAGTAGCTGTCCTAGACTAAAGTAAAACCTTGTTTTGTAATAAGGCCGTAAATGTAGATTTGTATGTTAGAAATTTGTGTGTGCAATAATTTGGCTGTAGGATTAAGGATTTTCTCTATAAGACATAGAAACAAAATAACAAAATCTTTTTGAAAAACATTTAAGATATTCGCTCTAATACTATTGATACTTGTTTTGATTCATTTAAAAGCGATTCCAGTAACATTTTGATAATTATGAGATCTATATTTAAAACTTGCACAAATTATGCACAAGAATGTGTTTTAATATCTGTGCCCTTTGTGTAAGTTTTGTATTTACGTAAATTTTCCGAACAATTTTAATATTTCTTTGATCTGTTTGCATCCTTTTTCTATTTGTTTGGCGTATACTAAGAACACAGTATGAAGTAACAGTGTGTTCATGGTTTCAAGTAGTTTAACACCTTTTTACATGATCTAGAATGCTATGTAGTCGGAAAAGGTCTTTAAGTTTGATAGAGGATACTAGGAAATATATTTAAAAAAATTGAGTAACGCAAGAGGCTCATATAAATGTTTTACTTAATAATAGTCATGCAATGTACCAAAGTAACAGTTGCGCTAACCAGTTTTTTGTTTGCGCAAACTGCGTTACATTTTTGCGCAATTTTGTTACACGTTTGCGAAAACGTACAAATTTCTTTCTAAATTATGATATGACTCAACAAATCGTATTTTCCTTGTATCCTTTAACAATTAAAGAAGCAATTTACTATAAACTTTAATAATTTGTATTTATTTCTAGTATAAATTCGACCAGTGGTTTGTAATTACTAATTTATAAATTTTATATAAAAAAAACATTCGTTTCACTATGTTATTCAACATCGATTAACTACTCGAATAATATTAATCGATACCACATATCACTGTTAAAATTAAGATAAATTTTAATTTACATTTTATTATTTATTTTTAGTTTATAGTTTTCTTAACGCTTGCTGTGATTTTTCACTACACATTAATATAATGATAATGATATGAATCTTAAGGTAATGTTATAGTCTTGCCTTTCCAACGAATTTAGTAATTTATTTGATATGAAGTTGTTAATATATTTAAGATTTGATCGGTGACAAGCTTAGCGCGATAAATAGCTGGAAATATGAACGATGGAGGTTTGGCACACTCTCTTATGTAAAGGAGATCCGTAGACCAGAATGCCTATTGCGAGGGATCATGTTAAAGTGGTCAGTATATTTATGACGCTCGGCGCTCTAATTGGTCTGTTCCAAGTTAACCAACCAATGAGAGAGCTAAACGGGGTAACATTTGATCACGTTAACGTAAAACAATGTCATACTAGGCACTTAGCAGTAACCTTCTTCGCAGACAACTTTTGTTTTTGACGTTAATGAGAGATTTCACTTCAAAGTTTCAAAACAAAGAGCGAGTGTCAACCCTATCACATGCTATACATAATAAAACTTGGTTAAATTGGACGTTATGTTAGTATGTGCATCAAAGTCTGATGTTATGCTATAAAACGAAATAGTACAACTTCACAAGAAGTTTAAGTAAGCTTGTCAACCACGAAAATGTATTAAAATCGTTTCTTTTCCTGTGCCATTCGTAAAATAATAATAAGAATAATGTACATTTTATTATTTTTTATTAATATATTTTTCAGAAACAATATATTTTATGTTATTTTGTATCTAAAATCCGGTATACAGTAATTTAATCTGTAATTTAATGGTTTACTGATATGAATAGGGGCCCAAGTTGATCGTAACATATATTGTTTACGATTATTACGAATGTAAGTTATTTATAAGTCGATAATACGTAATTTTATTAATTAAAAAATATGGTATTTTTGCACCCTTTTACATTTGGTGTCGTGTTTGTATAATAAAAATAACCTTTTATTAATAATATTTTCGTAATACTAATGACACTAATTTTTAGGTATTTATCTGTCAGATTAATTGATCAGGATATCTTTAAAACTAGGGCTAAATCTAACCTTTTTCGATACCAACCCAAAAGTAATTTACAATTTTAATATTGGAATAAGAAGTTTGAATCTAACACTTCACAATCAAATATTACGAATTTGCCAAGACGGTATAACCAGCAAGTCGAGTAGTAGCAAGAAAGAGTTATTTGAAAGAACTTAAGTAAAAAGGTTTTTTGAAATCCTTATCGTCATCATCATCACCACCATAACTAACTAACGTAACTGACTTTGACTTTCACATATAATAATGTTATTAAAATGTAAAATACGATATACTTATTTCTATGATATTTATTTGAAACTGTGACGTCGTAATTTTTTGCGTTCAATTAATACTAACCTTTCTTGAGTAAGCTAGAAAAACAAAATTAAGCTTACAATTTAAGCCTTTGACTGCCGACAGAAAACATCGAAGACCGCTACCGTAGGTCACCGGTGCCGGTGACCTAGTTTTAATAATTTCGTTCATTTTTATTACTGATGATGATGATGATGATGATGGTGACGATGATCTACTTGAACGAACTAGCAAATTCGAAATAAACACATAATGATAAAGTTTTGTCTATAAATCTACATTTTAACAACTTAAAGCAATAAACACCATATTAAAATTACCCGAACATATCATAGGTACTGTAGGTATTATTAAAACATTAAATTAACTAGAACGGAATGCAGAGAAGCTATCTACAGAGGTTAATTACATTCCCAGAACCTCGCCACTGAAACAGGAACATTTAAAAACATTTCTAGGAAACAGGCCTACGCTGTTAATAGTTTTTGTTTGTCCTTTGACATATTGAACTTTTAATTAGCAGAATTTCATTACGAATATTAGAATGGTGTCTAGTATATAACAGTTTATATAGTGAACAAGCTTTTGCCTGCGTTTCCGTTCGCGTGGAATATTGACTTTCTCCAGATTTTTGGTATAAAACTATCTTATGCCCTTTCTCGAGTTCCAAACCCTGTCTGTACCAAATTTCACAGAAATCGGTTCTGTAAGTAGTTTAGGCGTGAAGAAAAGACAGACAGACAAACAAACAGACAGACAGAGTTACTTTCGCATTTATAATTTTAGTTTGGATGTCAATAAATCGGTATTTATAGTCCAGGTCACACTTTCAGGATATTGGTTTACCCATTAAAATTTTATTGTCAAATAAAAATATAAATTTTGTTGTTAAATTACCGATTGAGAGGTAAATTAATAAGTTATGTACTGGTTTTTATGTCTGGACTATGCATAGTTCTAAACCAGACGTGGGAGATCTTGACCTGAAGAAGCCGTATCGACTCAAAAACCCGACGCGAAATAAAACTTTTTTATTGCTCGGAAAATCATCAAATGTCTTCTCCCGCTCAGGGTATGGCGACTTGAGTGTCTGACTCTTACTGACTCAACCCCCTCCCCCTTCTCCCTCCCCCGTTGCTTCTCCTGCCGAAGGCCAAGGCCGCGGTGCCTCATAATTGCGTTTGCCCCGCAACCCCGTCTGAACATCAGCCCTGTAGGGCCCCGTCTGTAGTGGTCTATTAGCTCTTTGAGGCGCGCGCGGTACGCTACGCGCCGTACGCTCGGGACGCAAAATAACGCTTGCATAATTATGTGAAGTGAGGTTACGCCCCCCAATCCCTCTTCTTTTTAAAAGCCTATAAATCCTCTAGTGATGCGTATGACCATGGCCAGAAGACTTAGCAGAAAGAACTTTTTTTATCTATGAGGTTAAAAGTTTGCATGTTTTCAAATGTGTTTTTAAAATATCCTGTGCCTATAACATTTAAGCGATTGTTGCCATAAATAATAATCAAGATTTAATAGAATCCTGCATAATATACGTACACACTTAATAACATTTTAGTTTTTCTAAGAGGAACTGCATTTTTGTTGAATACTTATGACTAAGCATTCTTAAGTTTTTTTTTTATTTGCGCTAATTTGCATTTGGATTGACTTAGCACACTAAATAATATTAATAAGTTTTTCATTCACAACTACATTATAGATTATAAAAAAAAGGTTTTAAACCTTTTTTTTATAATCTTATGTAACGAACACTAAAATCACAATTGCAAAATATATTTTTAATTTTACACAAAGATTTATCGCACAGAAACTAAACAATTTTTTTATCTTCCGAATAAAGATCATTTAGTTGAATGGTTCACTCACGTAACTTTTCGAGGTTACTCGACTGATTTCAAGCCACACCAGGGGTCCATAATCATGCTTGGCATGCACACCACACGTGGCTGTTCGACTAGTATAATAGTGACTAGTCTTAAAATAACTTCGTCGAATTGTTACGTAAGCTGTACAATTCAATTAATATCGCAAATGTTCAAGCTTAATTTTCTATTAATTATATAAGTTTAAAATTTAGTTAAGGGTTTTTAATTTATTGCTTTGTTCATAGGTTTATTATTACTAATTGCTAACGAAACAGAATTAAACTCGACAATTGAAATACAACTGTGTAAAGCCACGATATAGACGTATTATATACATTATTATGATTATGTCTATAAGGACCAGAAAAGGTATTTTTGTATAACGAATTGGAGACTTAATGTTTGACAATACAGTTGAAATTTCAAAGCTGACGAAAATCGAAAGTGGACTTAATATGTAGGTCCCTAATTCGCATGCCCTAGCTACCCACTATTACTGGTAACTTCTCTGCCAAACTATGTACAGATATTTGGTTACTAAAGACAGGATTTGGACATCCAAGGTGGATTCAGTTATGGCTACCAAACCCAAAAAGCCCGGCAACCTACTTGTATGGTGTTGCAAGTGTCAATGGGCGGTACCGATTGCTTACCATCAGATAATCCGTCTATTATAATGTATGCCAAAATCTGCCTCTAGTAACAAAAT